CTCAACTAGGCTATGAAGACAGCCTGAGGCGTCAGCCGACCTTTAAAGACAACCTGATTCCTGAGCATCTGCTGGCCTTAAAAGACAGCCTGAGCTTCAGTTGGCCTATAAAGACTCCCTGAGGTGTCAGCACGCCTATAAGGACTCCACGAGGCGATCGTTCCATAGAAGATCTGGATATCTTCTCACAGAAGATCTTTGGATCTTCTTACAGAAGAATATCTGCGGATTTTCTAACTGATCTGGGAGATCTTTTCAAAGAAGATTTGGAGATCTTTTCACAGAAGATCGAAAGATTTTCTCGACGGTCTGGAGATCTTCTAACAAATATAGAGATTTTCTCAAAGACACGGAAAATCTGGTGATTTTCTCACAGAAGATTTGGATATCCTCCCACAGAAGATCGGGTAAATTTCTCCCGGAATATTTTCTCCTGAAGTTCTGGGAATATTCTTACCGAAACTGGGGTTCTTCTGACAGAATAGTAGTGATTTTTTCCTTAGAAGATTTGGTGATCTAAACAGATTTTCTGCTGATTTTTTTGGGTTCTTCTCATAGAAGATCGGCGAATGTGTTCTGGAAATTTTATAGAAGACCTCATTCGTTCAATATATTTACATTTACACTACCATCTGCAACACTTGCCTAATTTTCTATTTTTAAGTTTTTTTTTTTTTTCAATTCCAAGAATTTTCCATTACTACGCTCCCTACCTCCCTCCACCCTCTTTTTTTGGTTCATATGACAGTTTTCATTGTGGCATCCAAAATGAAAACATTCCAACGTGAGTTTTATTGTTGTTCCGTTTTATGATTGTTATTCTATTGCTTTGGCAAAGATATGCTCCAAATCTCATTTACAAGCAGCCGGTGAACATGGCTATGGCTGGGAGGAAATCCACCGCAACAACAACTACAACGAGTGACACCAAAAGCAAAACAAAAGTTCAAAGAACCACCCACCTACCCTTTTGGATGAGTGTGAGTTTGTGCGCCCAAAATCACTGAAGTTTGCGGGGCTCCCCCCTCTCCCCCCATCAACTTCAGTTTAGTGGGTCGTTGGTTCTATTGTCATTCGGTTGGCGGCAGCGGCGTTCATTAACTTTGTACTACTTTTGGGTTAATAAACTTTCACACACATCCACACACTGCCATACCCCCCACACGCTTGTGCTCACCTGGGTCTCTGACAGATTGGCTGGCTGGCTGTCTGTCTGACTGACACATGATGAAATGGTAGTAAAAATACGAAATAAATACAAAGTACTTGAATCTATTTTTGGTGTTAAAATAACAAATGAAAACAAAGACAGTCGGACGGACAGACAGACAACGAAACAGAATAAAATCTTCATTTATTGTTACCACCTCGACCTAACCGCCTAATAATGAAGAGATGAAACAAGAAACATGAAGCGTTTGCTGCCAGCTGACGCGGCTTCGAACGTCAAACGAAACATGGTAAATGATTGAATTAAATAGAAAAAGACATGGCTTTTATGTGGTTCTCTCCACTACGCCTGGTCTTCGTGTTATAGCTTTTCTTCGTCGTCAGACAGCTGACGCAGTGTGTACCAGAAATGACTGGCCGGCCGGTATGGAGGGCGAAGAAGAACACCCCTTTGGTGGAAGCGTATGAATTTCAGATGTGGCAACAAATGAATTTGTATGTTTTCTTTTGGCGGTTTATGTGTGTCAACGCGCGTAGCCGCAGCGACGACAGCAGCGTCAGCACCGACACCTTTACCACAAACCAGAAATTTGTCATCCAAATAAAATTGAAACAACAGAAGAAGCTATTGCAGCAATAGCCGTCATCACAACAAGTACCAATTGTCATCATCGTCACCGTCGTTACCGGGAGGCACAGTGGTTCGAACAGGGAATTTATAAAAATAAAATAAGTCCAGATAAAGACCGAAGTTGGACCTTAGAAACAAGTTAATAATCTAGGGTTATTGAACCAAAATCCATAATCAAGCAAAAATCAAAAATCGACTTTTAGCAGGACATAATCGATAAGCCGACTTTTACAGAATCAATGAGCTTTAAAGAATTATTCAGGTTTAAAGACTCCCTGAGACGCCCTGAGCTTCAGGTGGTCTTTGAAGACTCCCTGATGCATCAGCTCGTCTATAAAGACTCCCTGAAGCTTCAGCTCTCATAGAAGATCTGGAGATTTTCTGTGAGAAGATTTCTCAGAAGATCTGGGGATCTTTCCTCAGAAGATCTAACAGATCCTCAGATCTTCTCACAGAAGATCGGGGTATTTCCTAACAGAAGGTATGGAGATCTACTTGCAGAAGTTTGGAGGATTTTTTCAGACGGTCTCAGTCTCAGATATTTTCTAAAAGCAGATCTGGAGATTTTCTAACAGAAGCTTTAAAGACCACTTGAGATCCCCTGAGTTTCAGGTGATCTTTAAAGACTCCCTGAAGCGTCAGCTCGTCTATAAAGACTTCATGAAGAGCCAGCTCGTCTATAAAAACTCCCTGAGCCTCAGCTCGTCTAAAAGACTCCCTGAGGCGTCAGCACCTTTATAAAGACTCCCTGAGGCGCCAGCTCGTCTATAAAGACCCCCTGAGCCTCAGCTGGTCTATAAAGACCCCCTGAGCTTCAGCTGGTCTATAAAGACCCCCTGAGCTTCAGCTGGTCTATAAAGACCTTCTAAGCCTCACCTGGTCTATAAAGACCTTCTGAGCCTCAGTCGGTGTATAAAGACCTTCTGAGCTTCAGCTGGTCTATAAAGTCCTCATGAGCCTCAACTGGTCCAAAAAGACCTCCTGAGCCTCAGCTTGTCTGTAAAGGCCTCCTGAACCTCAGCTGGTCCATAAAGACCTTTAGATCCTCAGCTGGTCTATAAAGACCTTCTGAGCCTTAGTAGGTCTATAAAGTCCTTCTAAGCCTTAGCAGGTCTATAAAGACCTTCTAAGCCACAGCTGGTCTATAAAGACCTCCTGAGCCTCAGCTGGTCTACAAAGACCTTCTGATCCTCAGCTGGTCTCTAAAGACCTCCTGAGCCTCAGCTGGTCTATAAAGACCTCCTGAGCCCCAGCTGGTCTATAAAGACCTCCTGAGCTTCAGCCGGTCTATAAAGCTCTCCTGAGCCTTAGCTGGTCTTTAAAAACCTCCTGAGCATCAGCAGGTCTATAAAGTCATCCTGAGCTTCAGCTGGCCTATAAAGCCACCCTGAGCTTCAGCTAGCCTTTAAAAACCCTGAGGCTTCAGCTCGCTTTTTAAGACTCCCTAAGGTGTCATCTCGCCTATAAAGATAACGTAAGACGTCAGCTTGCCTGTAAAAACTCCCTGAGCTTCAGCTGATCAATAAAGACCCCTGAGCCTAAGCTTATCTATAGAGACCCCCTGAGCCAAAGCAGGCCTATAAGGACTCTCTTAGCCCAGCTCGCCTATAAAGACTCCCAGAGCCTCAGATGGCCTATATAGCCAACCTTAGCTTCAGCTGGCCTTTAAAGACTCTCTGAACCTCAGCTCGCATATAAAGAACCCCTGAGCTTCAACTTGTCCTTAAAGACCCCTAAGAGATTCACAGATTGTATCTGATCTTCAGTTGGCCTATAAAGACAACATGAGGCGTTAGCTTGCTGTTAAGAGACAGCTGTAGGCGTCAGCTCGTCTCTGAAGAATCCCTGAGCTTCAGCTCGCCTCTATAGTCTCCCTGAGTCTTCAGCTCGATACTCCCCAAGGCTTTCGCTTTCCCTTTGAAGGCTCCTCAAAGCTCCATCTTGCCTATAATGACCCTCTGAGTGTCAGCTGGCTTATAAAGACTCTCCGAAGCTCCACCTATGCTATAAATTCTCCTCGCCTGTTAAGGCTCCTTGAGCTTCAGCTCGCCTTTAAAGACTGCCTGAGGCTTCCCAAGGCTTTATTTCGTTTATAGAGACTTTCTGAGCTTCAACTCGTTTATAGACTCCCTGAGCTTAAACTCGTTTATAGAGACCCCCTTTAAAGATTTCCAGAATGTCAGCTCGTCTATGGAGACTCCCATGCCTTCAGTTCATCTATAGAGGCTCGCCGAGGTTTCTGCTCGCTTGCAAAGACTTCCTGACCCTCAGCTCGCCTATGAAGATTCCCTGATCCCTTGCTCCCCTATGAAAACCCCCTGAGCCTCTATTTTTTCACATTGAGACACTGTGCCTGTCCCACCACTCTTAATTATTTGTCAACGCCAAATACGAAGAAAAAACGAATAGTAAAAGTACGCCACTCTTTATTTGGAGTGCGGAGTACGTTTTTTATATGAATTGTTGTAAACATGATTTTCTTTAAGACTTTGTTGTTGTTGTTGTTGTAACAATTGCACCAATTTTATGAACAAACAGTGGCACAACAACCACAATACCTACTTTAGGAGGGGGAGGGGGCATTAAGCGCTACTTTGAAATGATGGCGAATAAAATTCACGTAGTCAAAGAAGTAATCAATTTGTAAGAAGCACTGGCAGCAGAAGAAGTAGGGGAAGAAGAAGAAGAAGAAAATCAAGTCAAGTAGCCGATAACGGTAAATAAAGTCGAACAACAACAATGGGAGGTGTCACAGCTCTCACGATGTGTCGCGTCTCAAAACCAAGCGTCACGCATTTAACCAATTCTTTATTGGGCGGCGATTGAGTGGTGGCAACAGGGGAACAATTTATGCCATGTGTGCTACAACAGAAAAGAAAATTTGCCCTAGTGTGTGTGTGCTCTAGTTTTCCGAATTTTTCATACACTCGAGAAAAAAATAAACTCTTTTGTGGAATTAGAAAAAAAATCGAAAAGAAATTTTTTTGGTTCTTCTGATTGAGAATTTTTTCGATGCTGATGATCTTGGAATTTTTATTGGTTTCAAATGGTATTTTTTGGTGATTTTTTTTTTTTTTGGGTTCGTATCTCTTGGAGTTCTTAAAAAAGCATTTCCTGGTGGTATTTTTGGTCCATATTTCTTGGAGTTTTTGAGAAAAATCTCTTTAACCCCTTGCCTATCCCCGCCCTTTTCAAAATAGAAACAAAAAAATTAAATCTGAAAATTCCGAAATAATCCACAACAAATATGTTCTGCAATAAAAACAATGGTGACTACGATCAGAATAACCTGTGATGGCGTCTTCATACAATCCAATTCATTTCTAACCTCAACAACGGCATCGTCATCAACAACATCCTCAAATCTTGCAGGAACAACAACATCACCATCTTCCGACGAAGCAACAACCCCGACAATATTTTCATCAAGCACAGCCGATACATTGGTGGAAAGTCGAAACATAACCCCGGAGCAGGAAGACGACGAGAAGGATAACAGCTCCAGTGCCAGTAGTACGACCACGACACCAACCCTAATCACCACCTCCCATGGAAGTGCCAAAGATCGTTCGGAATCGAGTAATTTTCAGTATGACGAAGTACGAACACTCGTCCCACAATTAAAGAAATCGGGCAGTGATTCCTCTTCCTCCTCGACGGCGGGGTCTATTGCCTCAACCCTCAATTCTCGCAACCTATCCGTTAGTCCAAATAATCGTGCGAAACGGCCTCGTACCCCCAAAAATGATAATCGTCGAAGGTATTATTTTGGCAGCAACAAAGTCTATTGGTGTAAGCAGTCACTGCTGAATGGTGGCATTCCAGCATCGCCGATTTCCCTACACAACGGGCCGCGGAGAGCAGGGGATGAGAGTACGAAAAAACCAGCAACACAACATCGAGTAAATCTCCAACGGAGTGCCAGTTCGGTGACCGACAAAGAATTACAGCAGAAGAAGAAACAAATCAATGGTCAGGACGAAATAGAGCAGCGACCCCGAACACGAGTCCATAAACTTTTGACAGCCTCGAATAGTCTCAATTCTTGCACATTCCACTCCAACGGGAATCAGAAATTCAATCTCAAAGAATTTTACAATTTTTCCGCCAATAAAATCAAAGCCCCAACGGGGGCAATACTAAACACCAACCCACAAAGTGGAGGCAAGAACAACAATCGCAAATCCTCACCCAAGACAATATCCGGTGGCACCTCAATATTCCTTGTCAACGGAGGTGGAGGTTTCAGTATTAACTCCTCAGTCTATGGCAGTCAACGCAAATCCCCAACGCCAGCAACAGCAAATGATTCAACGCGGCTCTTGAGTTTTTTACGCTCCGCCAGGAAGCTTTATCGCAACAGTATTCGTCTAAATCATCAACATTCTCAGTCGCCCAACAAATCCTCCTTGTCCTCCTCTCCCCGCCACACTGAAGACCAAAGAGATGAAGTCGATTCGCCGTTAAATTCAGCCAACAATGTTCCTAGCTATCGCGATAAGCTAAGGCAGAGCTATCTCTTTGGCCTCAAGAATTTCTACAATCAACCAAATGAGAATAGCAGCAGCAACAACAACAACAACAATAATAACAATAACGGCGGTGGTAGCAGTAGCTGTAAGGGAAATAAGCCAGTATTAAGCGAGGAATGGTTCGGTTAGTATTACACACTTTTTTATGTAGTTTTTCGAATGGTAATCGCAGAAACGGGCAGTTAGCCATTACGAAATAATGTAATCTAAGTATTTTTTACGTTAACAGTAAGTGGAAAAGTAATGAGTTATCCAACTACATAGTAATGGGTGAGAAAGCTATAAAATGAACGGTATTTCAGTGAAAAATCTGGAGAAAACTGATTTATCCGATTACCAGGTAATGAGTAGAGGAGACAAGATGTACCTATCTAGCCATCAAGTATAAAATCACGAAATATATGCTGCTACTCATTACGATTATGAGAAAGCTATTTCATTTATCTTTTTACCAAGTAATGAGTAAAGGAGAAAAGACGTGTCTATCTACTTACCAAATAAGGAGTCACAAAAAATGTACTCTTACTCATTACGATTAGGAGAGTAAGGACTATTTTATTTATCTTCTTACCAAGCTACGTGTGAGGGAGGCATGTCGAAGTGATTACCAAGTAGGGAGTCACAAAAAATGTAACGAGTACAAAATGTAAAGTAAAATGTCAGTCAGTCAGGATTACGAGAAAATTATTTTTTTTTTCATTACCAAGTAATGAGTGATTAGGTTAGTTTCGCATATCTTACCAAATGCCAGAGATATGGAAAATTTTTACAGTGCGCAAAAAATATGAAAACAAAAAGACTTGGGCTCATCAAGTATATTACAGGCGGCTTATATCTAATTTGCAGTTGACCTATTGATGAGAAATAAATTGTTTCAGGAAGAAGAACAGCTTATCTCTATAATCGAAAAGTTTTGAGGTCATAACTGGTAAAACCTTAGAGATGTCGGAAATTTAACAATTTACCGAAAAAGTAGAGAAATTCGATTGATTTTTTTCGTTGTAGTTTAAAATATCCTTAACTTCCTTTTCTCGTAGTTTTCTCCAGTTTAAACATGTTTATTTAAGTATTAAGGACGCACATCTTTGATCAGATATCAATTTTGTCGATGTAGCTAACCAAGTACTCGAGATATGGACTAAATTACAAAGTACGCAAAAAATGTAAAAATAGAAATTGTATTAAGTAAATACATTGCAAGCCACATATCTCTAATACTAGTTGGCTAATTTACCCGACATATATTATTTTGGGAAGAGGAACATCTTATCTATGTAGATTATAAGTTTTGTTGCTATAACTGGTGAAATTCCAAAGATATCGTAAAATTTACAACTTGCACAAAAAGTAGGGAAGTTTGATTCTCTTTTTCGTTGTGTTTGAAAAGACTTGCAGTTTTTATTTTGTTACTTTTTTCTATATAAAATAAGTTTATTTTAGAAAAGTGAAAGCCTATCTTATAACTTACATCAATTATGTTGATGTAGCTTAGCAAATACCCGAGATATCGGCTAAATTGCAAAGTAGGCAACAAGTGTAAAATTTGCACTCGTATTCAGTAAATATATTGCAAACTAAATATCTCTAATTCTAGTTGCTCTATTTCCCCGAAATAAATTGTTCTGGGAAGAGGAACATCTTATCTATATAATTAATAAGTTTTGAAACCATAACTGGTATAACTCGAGAGATATCGGAAATTTAACAACTTACGCAATAAGTAAAGGAAACTCATTTATCTCAACAAGTATGCAGCAGGGCACATATCTCTAGTCCTTGTTGGCCTATTTATCTGAAATAAATTATTTTAGAAAGAAGGACATCTTATCTACAAAGTTAACAAGTTTTGCAGCCTTAACTGGTAAAACTCCAGAGATATCGGAAAATTAACAAGATTCCCAAAAAGTAAAGTAATCTGGTTCATGTTTCTTTTTAGTTTAAAAGACTTGCGGCTTTTCTTCTGGTCGGTTATTTCTAATTGAAACAAGCATTTTTTAGGAGAGTGACAGCCTATCTTTAAATTGGAAAAAATTTTGTAAATGTAGCTTAGCAAATACCCGAGATATCGTCCAAATTACAAAGTACTCAAAAAGTGTGAAAATAACACATGTAATCAGTAAGTGTATTGCAAGCCTCATATCTCTAATTCTAGTTGACCTATTTAACCGAAATAAATTGTTTTGGGAAGAAGAACATTTTATCTATATAATTGATAAGTTTTGTAGCTGTAACTGCTCAAACCCCAGAGATATCGGAAAATTAACATCTTACGCAAAAAGTAGTGAAATGCGATTTATTTTTCGTTGTAATTTAAAACGTCCATAGCTTTTCTTTTGGTACTTTTTTCCACTTTAAACATATTAATTTTAGAAATATGGAAGTCTACCTTCAAATGAATATAAATTTTGTTGATGTAGCTTAGCAAATTCCTGAGATATCGTCCAAATTACGAAGTACTCAACAAATGTGGAATTTGCACTTGTATTCAGTAAGTGTATTGTAAGCCCCATATCTGTAATTATAGTGGGCCTATCTAACCGAAATAAATTGTTTTGGGAAGAGGAACATCTTATCTATATAATTGACAAGTTTTATACGAATAATTGGAAAAATCTCTGAGATATAGGAAAATTAACAACTTACGCAAAAAAGTAAAAAAAATCGATTTATTTTATCTTGTAATTCAAACTGCTCATATCTTTTATTTTGGTTGTTTTTCAAGTCTCAACAAGTTTATTTCGGAAATAGGGAGCTTAACTTTTAGCTGATATCATTTTTACCTATGTAGCTTATCAAATACCCGAGATATCGACTAAATTACAGAGTACGCAAAAAATGGAAAATTGCACCTGTACTCAGCAAGTATATTACAAGTCACTTATCTCTGATTCTAGTTGACCTATTTACTTGAAATAAATTATTTTAGAAAGAAGAACATATTATCTATATCATTGGCAAGTTTTGTAGCTAAAACTGGAGAAATTCCAGAGATATCGGAAAATTAACAGCTTACCCAAAAAGTAGAGAAATGCGATCTATTTTTCGTTGTAAGTTAAAATGCTTATAACTTTTCTTTTGATTGATTTCTTCAGTTAAAATAAATTTATTTTAGAAATTGGGAAACATATCTTTAAACTGAGATATGGTGCAAATTACACAGTACGCAAGAAATGTGAAAATAACACTTGTAATATGTAAGTGTATTGCAAGCCACAATTCAAAACAATTCATTTCGGGTAGATAGACTCATTAGGATTAGAGATACCTAATGGGTCTATCTACCAGAAATAAATTGTTTTGGGAAGAGGAACATCGTATCTATATAATTGACAAGTTTTGTAGCTATAACTGCTCAAACCCCAGAGATATCGGTCATTGAACAACTCACGCAATAAGTAATGGAATCTCATTTATCTCAGCAAGTATGTAAAATAGCACATATCTCTAATCATAGTTGGCCTATTTGCCTGAAGTAAATTATCTTAGAATTAAGAACATCTTATCTACATAATTGACACATTTTGTAGCCTTAATTTATAAAACCCCTGAGTTATTGGAAAATTAAAGAGTTACCCAAGAAGAAAAGTAATCTGTTTCATGTTTTATTTTGGTTTAAATGACTTGCGGCTTTTCTTATGCTCGGATATTTCTAGATGAAACAATTATATTATAGGAGAGAGGCAGCTCATCTTTAAATTTATATTAATTATGCTGCTGTAGCTTACCAAATACCCGAGATATCGTCCAAATTACACAGTACGCAAAAATGTAAAAATTACACTTGTAATCAGTAAGTGTATTGCAAGCATCATATCTCTAATTCTAGTTGACTTATTTATGCGAAATAAATGGTTTTGGGAAGAGGAACATCTTATCTATATAATTGGCAAGGTTTGTAGCTATAAATGCTCAAACCCCAGAGATATCGGAAAAATAACAACTTACGCAATTAGTAAAGAAATCTCATTTATCTCAGCGAGTATTCAACAGGTCACATATCTCTAATCCTAGTTGGTCTATTTAGCTGAAACAAATTGATTTTGGAAAGACGAACTTCTTATCTACATAATTAACAAGTTTTGCAGCCTTAACTGCTCAAACCCCAAAGATATCGGAAATTTGCCAAATTACCCGAAGAGTATTTGGAATGCGATTTATTTTTAGTTGTAGTCTAAAAGACTTGTAGTTTTTCTTACATAGACCTGGAACAATCTTCCAAGTTTGGTTCAAATACTTTATCCCAAAATCTTTTCAAAAATATATTCAATTAATCCCCTACATAACTCCCTCGCGAAACCCCATTGTTACTAACATTTCCCCTAAAGTTTTCTGTGATTCACTTTTTATCAGCCTTTTTTTTTTTTTTTCTTTTTCTTTTCCCCCTTTGGTTTTATATTCTTACCAAGTTACAGAGATTTTAATTCTTTAAATATCTCAATTGCAAAACGTGCTTCTTAAACATTTACCCTATCGTCGTTCTGGATTTTGGTATTCAACAATGCAAGATGCAGATTTGAGTCCATCCAGCGTTCATTTAGTCACCATTCTGAGTCAGTGAAACGTAAAGTGAATTAAAACAAAAAGACTAGAGATTTAAATTTTTTGAAGTGAGGATAAAGAAATACAAGGTTCGTAAAAAGAAACGAAGAAAAGGGATTTAATATTGGCCTGGAAGTCAGGTTCCAAAGTACGTATACCTTTCTCGAACCTCACGGCCTTCATATTTCCCCAAATTCCCTACCAAATTTCCACCTTCCGTGTAATTACACTCTGAATCGCCTTACCCTAACTTAAGTCTCCGGAACTAAATTCCCCACATGGAATGTGACAAAAGCCGTTTTTTTTTCAAATGTTTATTTTGTTTTAAAAAAATATTTAATTTTCATGCTCATGTGTGAATTCATTCCGATTATCAGCTATCGTATTGGCCAACCTAATACTCCGCCCGATACTCATCGCCATCATCATCAACATTATCCGCAGTCGATTGCTTTGGCTATTAGCACATAAAATAAACAAAATAAATTTTTTACCTCGGAATATTGACTGTGAAATAACACGCGACTGCCTGGCTGCCGGACTATCTGGCTATCTGATCAACTAAAGTACCCACTCTGAATATTG